CGGAGGACCATGGGATTGCTTATCAAAGCTGCAGCTATTGACCTGGTATGATAAACTCCCTGGATGTCAAAGTAAACCATTCCCCCGTATAGTCCCGTATATTTATAATTCCCCGTATAGGTGCACGAACCGCTACACCCCGATGAGACCCAGTCTCTTCGAAGTGGCTTCTCTAAAGAATTTAGATTGGCAGCCATGCCTACATCTGTCTCACTTTCCTGGTATTCAGCCGACAACGGACAACATCAGGTTGTGAAAAAGCTGCACACACAAGGTGATTGAGTGTTCTGTACTTTGCGACCCGGTAAAGCTCATGAGAACGACAATCACCGAAAAAAGGTTCGCATCCTATCTCCTGGGACGGTTTATTCTGAACACTTGCGTTTTATCAGTGTATAGGCACAGCTAGCGGGCGACGGTTAACCCATCTGGTTTTCGGTCCACTCCGGCATGCTATATATATATATATATATATATATGTATATATAAACGTTACTCACTGTGTGAATTACGTGTACCATAAGTGTGATAAGTGTTGAGTGAAGAGAACAGCGTTCATCAGATTTTTTTCGATTGTTCATGCCATTAACGATCTACATGGACAGGTCACTCTTCATTCGTTACTAACCATAGACAAGGTGATGACGAGTATCAATGGCAAAAACATCAGTTTGATGAGCGAGTACGCAAGGGATACTTACCAACAGGTTGACGGATCCGCTGAACTCATGCCTGGATACCAAGTATAATCGTAAACCAAATCGCTTTCGCGCATTGTTAAAACTGCACTCTAGTTTGTACATAAAAGACGAAGAAACAGTATTTAAAATGCAGTGATCACAAACAACAGCAAAAAATACGTGTCCACCAGAATGGTTCAAAGACTAGCGAGGACCAGATAGAATGTGTCCAAATTGCTTACCATTTCTTCCAATTCGGCGTCAACAGAAGGAGTCTCCTGAGCAAGTAGGACGTTTGGAAGGTTAAAGATTCTTAGGATGTTGTCCCGACTGTTTGTGAGGATACATGAACCATCCGGAGACCTGTGACGGAAGAAACGAAGAAGCGTACATAGGTTCCCACTTATTCATAAGTGTGCAAGAGATAGACGATATCGCACCCAGTTCCTATATGTTTTAAATCAGAAATACTGCTATGTTGAAGAGCATGGGGAACAGTGAATTTAGTTCAAGCTTCCAATGAACGCTTTAATATTTCAAGCAGTCAGTGCATCTGGATTGGAACGAGAGAGATGTTGTAAGTACGTATCAGTGGTTACATTGGAACCGGCTAATCTTCCTGAAGCACCCTAATCAAAACGGCTGGTATGGAGTTCGCAAAGATGAAAAAATGCTCGGAATTGAGGCCAACGGAATCCAAACCTGTATCATCCCAGAGACTGCGGGCAGTGCAATCATCCGGCCCAAACTGTTACATGTGAATTAAACTGGTGATAAAAAATCTTCACTGAATATACACAAGCTTTAACAGGTACGCAACAGTGAAGAACTGTCTTTAATACACAGCGACCGACAGCTTTCCCGAATAGTTATGTTACAAAGTTAAGTATACCAAAGATTAAGTACCAAAAGTATGCTGACCTTGAAGTTCCGAAAAAAAGCACCGATAAACATCGTACTTCGACAACTCAAAGGTACTTTTGAGTGGGATTCACTTTCTTGAAACTCAGCTGCTGGCGAAGTGACCAGCAAAATATTTAAAAATACTACTAGGAAGTGACTAACGAATGGATCTGGCACAAGACCTAAGTACAAGTTTTCAAGATCAAGCGCAGGAATAACTTAGGTATATGGCACACGGCGATGAGGTATGCAGTCTTTGAGAATTCCAGTATGTACACCTGTGCACCGGTATCCTTGCGTAAATGACCTTTTAGGTTGAATGAAACCATTTCATTTTAGGAACTGTTTATTCGTGAGAGAGAGGAGTGCACATGTGCCTTGGATTCATCAAAATACGCACGTATCTAGGGTGCTTATATGTACCGTGGTTGAGGTTAGTGAAGCGCCACAGTAAGTAAGCAGTGCATTGTTTCCCAGACTACAATCTCGCATTTGTACAATAGACCCAAACTTGGTGTGCACGTTACTGGGTTACTGAAACGCACTCACCACTGACAGCCACGTAGGTAATTATCTAAAGGGACCTTGGTCCTGGGAACATGATACTCCTTTTCCGCAAACGCAATGATCCTGGGTGCCTGACGCAACCAATCTGGAGGAGGAGGAACATTTTCATATATTTCCTCATACATTTCCTCCTCAACTTCGTCCGCTGTTGAAAGAGGGTTCAATATAGAATCCGGGTGGAGAGAGAGGGAATCATCGGCCGCTGATTCACTAGCCGCAAACGAGCTGTTGCATAAAACGTGTTCCGGGGAAATCTCGGCAACTTTTTGTATATTTTGTTCGCTTATTGAAATAAAGGCTTCCAAGGGAGTAATGTATTTAACAGAGTCTCGTAGTACATCTTCCTCGTTTGTGGGTTGTGAAGTAGCAGCAACAGGGTCGATGAGAGTTGACGCTGAAATGTCGCACGGGACTGTGGTCTGTCCATATTCATCTTGAATAGGTGAATCAACGGCATTTTGTGATGAAGTACCCGGCGAACAATGTTCGGTCACAGATGCACTGGATAGGCCCTGAGAATTCGGTGAAGACAGGGAGTCGGTGGGATAGACGGGAGAATTGACCATTCTGAAAAAAACGATAAGAAACCGCCTATATAAAAGGGAAGAAACGACCGGTCGAGACAATGGGGAGGGAGTGTCTGGAGTTTTATTTCATAGGAAAGACAACGGTATCAACTAGAAATCAAGAGTTTTGTACGACAGCTGTGCATAGGTATTCAGTCCATTTTCAGTGCAAACGATACTCCACAGGAGCATCCCTTTTCCGCTTGAGGGTTTTTCGTAATTCGAAAGCCACTGCGTATGAGCTCATCTTCGTAGTCCAAGGTGGACCCCTCTATTAGGCCCAAGGAGACATCGTCCACGATCACCCGCACACCGTCTTGTTCAATAACTCTATGGCAATGATCAGATTGTGGAGAAACATACCGATCACTTGGAGTGGGTTCTTCGGTCAACTCAAATTTATACTGAAAGCCGGAACAACCACCGTTATCGACAAGGATGCGCAGTATAGAGTTAGATGAGCGTTCGATTGCCTTCAAGCGCTTAAGGAATGAATGAATACATGAGTAAATATCACACCTGTATGCAGCTGCTGGTAAAAACAATCGGATTTTGAAATTCGGAGGCACTAAGGAATCGAAATGATTGTGACAGCTTCACAATGCTGCCAGTCAACCGCAGCATGTGAAGATGTAGAAGATCGCTAAAAAAGATGGAGGGGCATGTTAGCTGCAACGCAGTTTTTGTAGACACACGTCCGAAAATGAAAAAAAAAAACTTATTAGGGAAGACTGAAAACATAGGGGCCGACAAGTAGACCTGGTCAAATCGATCCTGAGGGGCGATCCCCAGTAGTTAACAAGGTAGAAACGCAAAACCCAGTTCACCACAAACTCGAACGACTGCTCAAAAATGAGCAAAAAACAACCTCGTGCTACTCTGATACACCATACAGAGCTGCTCTTGTAGGCTGTACTTCGGATCAACTTTCTAGCTTGATTTTTCATATATTTGATGTTAACTACCCCGACAGTTCGGTTTTCAGAGAAGCAGAAATTAATCAAAGTTTTGGAAGTTTGATGCCACCACGCCTGATTGGGGATTTGCAACAATCTCTCCACCGCACACAAATGAAGCCGCTCCCATTATCCGTGCGCTCGGAAGAAACTCCAAAACTAACACCTAACTGTGTTTCTTCCTGACTTGGGCATTCATATCACTTGTCAGGATTAGTATAACCGTCTTTCTTGCAAACCGAAAAAGGCGTGAAATATCTTGGTAAAAATCGTCCTTCTCAGGCTCAGAACTGCCATGTGTTGGGGCGTATGCTGATACGACAAACGAACACCGTTTACCACATCAACCTGGGTTCAACTTAATTGAACCAGACAACCGCACAGCACAAATACGACTGTTTACTGGGATCCAGTCCAATAAGGCGCTTTCAGTCCTGGGACTGAGTGCAACTGCCACACTGAAGATAACATGAGCCATCGCGTTAGGACCATTAGATACCCAGAGAGTAAAATGTGAAACATCTGAGCTCATCCTGAGCAGCTTGAAGTGCAGACCGAAGTAGGGTCTTTATCAGGAAGGTGGTATTCCTGAAAATAACCCCAAGACGCCCGGAACCTAAAATTGCACCAAAATCTCAATAGGAAAGCCGGCAAGAATCCAGGCCAGTCAATCATTTAATCAACTTAACAAAAGCCGATGAGTGTTCATGCACGCCACAGAAGCACGACCGAGTGTGATCAGCGTTCAGGCACGTCATAGAGGCACGATCAATGTTGATGGGTGTTCACTAACGCCTATCAGCCTGGATCAATGTCATAAAGTCCCCTTTGAATAGCTTAGGGCCGTTGTAAATCTTGCACTCTCCTGCACTCATTCGCTTGTTCGGAATATAGATGTTGTGTTCCCTTCTGTCAGTCTATTCCGACGCTAGGGAGCGGGTCAGCAGCAGATACCACAGATCGGTGAATCAGCAACTATAACAGTCATGTATGTGTTTTGGAGACACGACATACATCGACAGAGGGAAAGCAGGCTTTCAGCAAGGGATGACCGCAGCCCAATTTGATATAGAGAACGCAGAATAAAGGCTGCAACGTGCACCACATCTCCTGAAGTAAGGGATTATATTGGTTTACCTTCCTGGATGATGTTTTACACGCGAACAATAGCCAGGGGACTAGTAGACGGGTTGACCGCATAGCATCAATCTAAGAACAGGGAAGGGATGTGAGGGAAGGTCGCTGAGAGAAGAGCTGTAAGGACGAATGACACTTCCCGGTTGTCCAAGGCGAAAAAGGGGGGTTGGCTGAGCCTTTGACTCAAAAGTATAAACCACGAGGCAGCGGCTGTTAGCGTTTTCTTTGGAAACCTTCCTTGGAGCCAATGACTCAACAGTTCAACCCACTAGGCCAAATGGAGCCTGCCTCGCGCGTGGACGCTGAGTAAGGCATTACTGTCTCACTACTAATGCGCCTGCGCACAACAGGTGCCTTTTGAGCAAAACCGGACCCTTTCATTTTAAAAGTATTCCGACCATATTGAATAGTGAGCTGGCGGTCGCGGTCAACCGTTGGGGGATTGGAGTGTGTGATTTTTAGGGCCGATCTTTCCTAACTTATCCTTCTTCGGGGGAAGGAAGCATCGCTGCTTCCATAAATATGGACATGCTGGCCGCTTGGGGAAAACGCCTTGCTGCCTCACAATACGGAGACTTGCTGTTCTTCGTCGAGGTGCTACGGTACACGGGAAATCCAGATTTCTGGATCATGCTGACTTTATCACAGAACTAGTGGACCAACCGGGCGACCACGATGTTGTGACTGCCGTAAATGGCCGTGCCTACAATGCACTCTCTGCCTGGAATGCAGTATCCCAGGGCTTATGGTGACTCACTTCAAAGGAATCCCAGTGAATTTGGCTGCTGTGACTGCTCGGGTCCCGCGTTTGGGACCAGCATCGGTGGAAGACTAGTATAGGACCATTGTCCAGGAAGTTCACGAGGCTGATGCGATATTTGTCCCAAAAACCAGCGCGCAGTCGGATGAGCCGCAGACTACCTAAAAGGATTCGGCGTCTTTTGGAAAAGAGGTCTCAACTTTTCTTTTTAAAAAGTTGACTATAGGGGACACAGAACATGAACCGGTATTTCGTAAAATGCGGAACAGCTGTAAATTAGAAATCCGTCTATGGAGCTTACGAAAACAAGCCACCATTCTGGATCTCGCCCGGAAAAGCAGAAAAGTGCTGTTCGAATACATGAGACATCCGCGTTCTCCTTGAAGAACAGGAACAGAGAACACACGAGTGACCCAACAGTGGTACCTGAGGTTCACAGAAAACACTGTGCAGGTCCATATTCAACCCGAGTCCTCGTCACATCAAGTCTTGTCAAGGCGTAATTACGAACAGTCCCTAACCGACTTGGTCTTTACGGTGGACACTCGTCAACTCTTGCACAAGATCAACCCATTCTGCGTTTTGGGGCCAGATGAGGTCCATTCAAGGATCCTGAAGGAAACGTCATCTACACTGGAAAATAATTTATACCTGATATTTCGTCAGTCGCTTGACGAAGGCCGCGTTCCATCTGCTTGGAAGGAGGCGATTGTCACGCCAATCTACAAAACTGGTGACCAACTATCGCCTGGCAGCTACAGGCCTATAAGCCTCACTAGCGTACCGTGCAAAGTAATGGAACGCATTCTAAAACGAGCTATTCTAGATCACCTTACTTCCAACAACTTGATGTCTCCAGCACAACATGGATTTTCCCAAACCGTTCTTGAGTGACAAACATGATCGTGTTTATGGATAGCTTAACCCAACCCAAGGACGAGGGACTCATACCGGATGCCATATTTTTCGACTTCTCGAAAACATTCGATCGGGTCTCACACATCCCACTGATACACAAAATCGAGTCTTACGGGATTCAAGGGAAAACCCTACACTGAATCAAAGTGTTCCTATCAGACAGATCATTCAGAGTGAAGTTAGGTTCTACCTACTCTTCTCCAGCGTCGGTCTTCATTGGAGTTTCTCAAGGCTCCGTTTTGGGACCACTGCCGTTTCTGATCTACGGCAACGACCTTCCAGATGTTCTTGTAATTCCATGTCTGCTTTTTGCGGACGATTTTAAATCCTGGAGTTCCAATGCCAGTGCCTTCAAATAAATGTAGACGTCGCAATGCAGTGGTCGTTGGACTGGCACCTTCCTCTGAATGACGAAAAGTACTTCCATGTCCCCGCCGTGTGTTTGCTGTGTCAATGGTGAAAAACCTGTTGACCAAGCTTTGTTCAAATAGAGTGTAAGCAAGAATTAGGTCCCCTTGGAGGCGACGATACTCCAGGAGAAAGATGTCAAGCACCGCGAGACGCGTTTCGTAGTCCACGGATTTGAGGCCGGCAACCATTTACGTAGCGGCTCGCCGAACACCTTTCGTGCGTCCTGAGTAGACAACTTAGTCGGCGTATTCAAGGAGCGGTGTGATGTAGGCCCCATAGAGTATTTGGAAGTCCATGCGAGCAATACGGGAGAATGTGCACCGAATCATCCGCAAAATGACGAATGACTTTTGAACCGATTTCTCATGGTGCATTGAGAAGGGCAAGTTTGAAGACAGCCACATGCACAAATCCTTTTTGGCATCAATCATCGTGATGTTTTCTGGTCCTTTCTCGCCATGCATGACAAGGGCATCCGCTGAGTCTCCTCCCAACGACAAATGGGAGCACTTTTCATCATTCAGAGGAAGGTGCCAGTCCAACGACCACTGCATTGCGACGTCTACATTTATTTGAAGGCACTGGCATTGGAACTCCAGGATTTAAAATCGTCCGCAAAAAGCAGACATGGAATTACAAGAACATCTGGAAGGTCGTTGCCGTAGATCAGAAACGGCAGTGGTCCCAAAACGGAGCCTTGAGAAACTCCAATGAAGACCGACGCTGGAGAAGAGTAGGTAGAACCTAACTTCACTCTGAATGATCTGTCTGATAGGAACACCTTGATTCAGTGTAGGATCTCCCCTTGAGTTTCGTAAGACTCGAGTTCTCCACGCTCCTTCTAGAACTCAGTTCAAAACACTACTAGATACTTATTTATGCGAATCCTCGCGCTGGCAAGCACTTCCCCGTTTTGAGAACATAAAGAGCAGTGCTAAACCCTTTTTCACTTGTGTCTTCTAGGTGAATGACAGCCGCTGAACGAGAACAAAACTGACCCGGGAAAAATGGGCAAACGCCTCGATCCTGTGTATCAATCCGTGAATCCAAAAATAAATGTGAGATTCTATGAACAATCGTTGTAGATGGTCAAAAAGGCCTCATGAAGAGAGTTCAAAATGGTGGCGAACGATTGCGACGTCATCATTACTGTCGGGGTTATCAGACAGAGAAATATTGGTGCTAACATTGATGCTTCACTGCCGTACGACCACAAAGTCCATTTACTTATGCTTAATGTGGAAAGAGGGAGTTGACGAGAGGGACCTACAGGGGGACCATAAGCATCCTGAAGTGTCTACACCTCCAAACACTCCGGAAATAGTTGCCATTTCTCGCAACGCCCTCAGATAAGCGGAGCAATGGAAGTTACGGAAATCCCATGCTGGAAGGCGGACCGCACCAGCAATACACGTGCTCGTCGTAAACCCTTTCACACCAGTCTTCAATTAACTTCTTTTCA